GACTCCTTTCTTTGCGACTCCAGAGCAGACGTTCTAACCACTTCGCCACGACTATAGATGGTGTAGAGAAATATTCCTTTAAGAGGAATAGTTCGACTACCGTATTATACATTTATACAGAAATTTTTGTCGGAGACCCTAAATTTGTTACGGTACTAGAGTATTGTCCTTTTTTATGTTTAAATTGTAATGGTAAGGTCCACTTCTATCTATGTAAAAAAATATCTAAATATGTAATTTGAAAATACTCTTATGGGGTAAAAATGTCCACTTTGCATTAAACCTTTTGAGACTTTTGAGACTTTTGTGACTTTAATTTCACACAAACTTATCAAAGAGTTATGATGAAGGATCATGTAAACAATCATAATGATTACTTTAAATTATTACATCTTCAAAGATATGTGAAAGTATTGCAAAAATGAAATTCAGACCAAAACTCAAATTATTGATAACCCATTACATTTTTTAAAAGTTAAAGAATATGCATTGACCATTTTATGATTAACTTGTACCCAACTGCAGGCAAATATGAGAACACAGTATTCTTTTATGTTTTGAAAACAGTGTACGAAATGAATTGTTGGACTTATTAATGCTTTATTCATACATACTAAATACTGTTATGATATACCTTGACTGCCCATCTACAGATTTTGCCCTGTCCAATAGGGCCAGGATAATTAGGGGAAGTAACTGTGACATCTTTGTTTGGCTCTAAAACAAGGTCATTCTCCTTAAGATAAACGTATCCACCACAATCTATAAATAAAGATTACCTCAGTGAAGGATAGAAAGAACGAACAGTATTTTATATCCAAGACCATAAAACAATACAAAATAGAAGCAGAGAAAACACAGAAATATTATTCTTTTACCTTGAATTATTTATCTAAATCTTTTTTACTACCTGGATGGATTTATCTGTACTGATCTATATTATTATGCCCCCGGATCGAAAGATCGGGGTATATTGTTTTTGTCCTGTCTGTCTGTTTGTTTGTTTGTCCCACAATTTTAACCTAGCCCATAACTATTGAGTTGTTGGGGCTATGACTTTGATAATGCATAGGTGTGTTACTTGTGACATGACCTTTCTTTGGGTACCACCAAATTTGACCTCATGACCTTGACCTTGGAGTTTGATCTACTTTTATTCTATTTGTGTTTGTTTGTCCGACAACTTTAACCTAGCCCATAATATTGAGTTATTGGGGCTATGGATTTCATAATTCATGGGTGTGTTACTGGTGACATGGCCTTTCTTTGGGTACCACCAAATTTGACCTTTTGACCTTGACCTTGGAGTTTGACCTACTTTTATTCTATTTGTTATCAATTTTAACCTTCGCTATAACTTTTGAACAGATCGAGATAGAGACTTCATATTTAAAATGCATACTTCACTAAATAAGCACTTTCACCTGACACCAAGGACAATGACCTTTTGACCTTGACTGTAACCTATTTGCTAAAAAATGGATTTTTCGAACTTTCGGTATAACTTTTGAACCCATAGGAGATAGAGACTTATTTGATATGCCTACTTCACTAATTAAGTGCTTTCAAACGACACCGAGGTCTATGACCTTCTGACCTTGACTGTAACCTTTATGATAAGAATAGCTTTTTCGATCTTTGTTGCTGCCAGGTAACAGTGTTTCACAAACACATCTTGTTTTGCTACCTGGATTTGTTTATCTAAAATATTTCACTACCTGGATCTGTTTATTAGGGCCCCGCTCGTCGGGCGCCCTTTAGTGATCAGTCTGTCCGTCCGTCCGTTCGTCTGGCAGTCCGTCCATCAGTCCGTCCGAGATCTCTTGTCCGGAGCATATCTTCTCTCCCCTTGGCAAATCTGGCTCTTACTTCACCCACAGAGTGCCCTTGGGTAACCAATGTGCAGTGACCATGAACCATGTTTCTAAGTCAAAAGTCAAGGTCAAAGCAGACCTGTGTAAAAATTCCTTGTCCGGAGCATATCTTCTCTCCCTTGGCACAATCTGGCTCTCACTTCACCCACAGAGTTCCCTTTAGTAACCGGTGTGCAGAGACCTTGAACCATGTTTCTAGGTCAAAGGTCAATGTCATAGCAGACTTGTGTTAAAAATCCTTGTCCGGAGCATATCTTCTCTCCCCTTGGCCCAATCTGGCTCATACTTCACCCACAGAGTGCCCTTGGGTAACCGGTGTGCAGTGACCTTAAACCATGTTTCTAGGTCAAAGGTCAAGGTCATAGCAGAATTGTGTGAAAAATCCTTGTTCGGAGCATATCTTTTTTCTCTTTGGCCCAATCTGGTTCATACTTCACTCACAGAATGCCTTTGGGTAGCCAGTGTGCAGAGACCTTGAACCATGTTTCTAGGTTAAATGTCAAGGCCATAACAGATTTTTATGAAAAATCCTTGTCTGGAGCATATTTACTGAGCTCTCTCCTTGGCCCAATCTGGCTCATACTTCAATCAAAGAGTGCCACTGGTCAATGGTCAGAATTAGTCTTTCTGTTTTGTTTGGTGCATAATCCCCCCCCCCCCTTAATTCCAGTAAATTTATATAACTGGGTACACAAGATAACTTTGATATATATCTGTAAAGAAGTCGGTTCACTTTAGCCATGAAATGGCCCTGTAGATATACGAGGGTTGTCCCGTAAAATCGTGGACAAGTTGTCTAGTGTGAAAAATAATCATCACTGCGTTCTGAAATTTTAACCACTTTTTAGTAGATAAATTATGAATATACATAGCAAATTCCAAATAGATATATGCATAGGTAAACAAATTGTGATATTTTATGTTATGTACTGTATCGCCCTACGGCGCACGGATGATAACGTCAAAGTGTCTAGAACAGCGTCACGTTTTATCTTTGCTAAACTTAAAGTTGGATAAGCCCCACTTAAATTTTGAAATTTTATTGATTTACATATGTGAGTATCTATAACCAGTTAAGAAACCAATGTGGCACACTCATGCGATCTTCTGAATATTTATTAGCAAATTACAGACAGTATTCTCACCATCATTCAACTAAAAGAGAATCTTACATCGACGGTCGACAGTGACAGCGTCCTTTGCTATTACAAATGGCAGTCTGTCCATATGTTTTGTACTATCTGAGGACTCGACCACGAATACTTCGCTAAGAAAACTTTCATTTCATTTATATACTAAAGATCTGGTGATATTTTTTCATATTTTTTTTTCTTCTGTATTCATTTAAAGTCTCTTAACGCATCATTACAACATCCTAATCTATCTGAACTGCTCTCCGGTGCGCCGTAACGTCATAAAAAGTCGTCATTTTTCGTGTATTGTGTTTATTACTTTCCCATTTCAAATGCTCGGGAAACTGCCAAAAATTAACCAAATGCCTTGAAAATTTTAAAAAGACGACAGAATTGATTAAGGAATGGAATTAGGATAATTTTCATCCTAATCTTATGTATTGAAAACTTTTATTACAAATTAATTCTTATATCTTCTCTAATATAACCTTGCTATTTTTACCGTGCGCCGTAGGACCGTACCTTGTGCACATTCAAGCAGAATAAAATCTTTATTTTTGAATATATATTATCAAAAACATTATGATTCACTTAAATATGATGAATAAACATTTACTGAAAATTTCAGCTTAATGCGCCCATTACTTTTCGAGAAAAACGCTTTGTCCACGATTTTATGGGACAACCCTCGTACCAATTGATTGATTAACACTGGATTCTTTATTTGAAGCTTTAAAATAAAGAAGAGACTTGGTGCTTTCATATCCTATTAAAATTTTTCACCTCAAAGTCCAGATCTTGGAGAACTGGCTCTGTGAAATTCCAATGTTCTTGAATTTTTATGTAAACATGTATAATTGAGTTCTTTCAGTGAAGAAAAATAATATGAGCGCACTCTCTGATCTAAAAAATAAAACATGTCCATAAATCCTCAGAAACAGTTCTATCATTTACTAGTTGTATATTTTAGATCAGAGGTTGCCCTCTACATTAAGGTAGGTCGCGGGTTTACTGCATAAAATTTTTTACGAGAAAACATATCCTGAAAATTTGATATAATGTTCCTTAGAATTCACAGCGTATTATCTGCAATATTTATTAAATTTGCCTACGTAGTTTTAATGCTATAATACTGTAAATGCGGTATTGTTTTTAGTACTTTTTCACGCTTTACTATTGACATGTATGGAAAAATGACGTTTTAAGACAATTTTGTGAAAATAGTTTCTTTTAAAAAGATTGAATAACTTTTTAAAGACGTAGACGAATTAGTCAGGAATTTCAAAATGTGAAGATGAGGTAAAATCAAAACTATTAATGTAAAAAAATCAATATGTCTTCTCGCTGGATTTTTTGCTAAATAATTTCAAAGTTTTCTTTTATACAACTAAAATGTTGCGTTTATGGCGTCATTTATATCTACAACGTCATTTGTTGAACGCAGTCACGTTTACGGTACGAGTATAAAAAATCTAAAAGATTTAAAATGTGATATCGATACAAAATTAAATTTTATTAATCATTTCATTTATAGCGGAGACATATTATTATGACCAGCAATTTATTTTCACTAGTATTGTGAGATTCATATTCTGAACACAAAGTCAGAATGAACGGTATAAACATTCCTCGTGCATGAGAATTAACGTACAGCGACAACAACGCGAATGATCAAATAAATTTACATTACTACCTGTATTTTTAAGAAATCCATGGTCGACAGGATTTCAGGCATAACGCAAAAGTCCGATGACTTTATTCAAAAACTGTAAGAAAATATCCCGACACTGAGGATATAAGCGGCCGGGGGGGGGGGGTGTTACCTGCAATGCGCTTTCTATATTAATCGCAAGCTATAGTATATGGCCCTGAATCTTAAGGTTTCGTCAAAGATCAACATGTCTAAAAAATTATTTTTGCTATAGCTCCAAAAGTATGTCTGGTATAAAGTCAAAACGTTGACAGTTTATAAACATATCATTGATTAATAGACAGAAAGTATCAGTTGATAACAAATATTCTAAAAAAGATTATTTTGGAGAAAAACTGTATCAGAAAATGTGCATATTTTTAAAAAAATGCACCTGCTTTATTCTGTCCTTTTTGTGAAAACTATCATTGCAGAAATAATATATATTTATCATTGAAGGGCAAGTTGGACATGAATGGTCTCTGAAAGGCTGTTATTGAAAGCATGACATGTATAAAGACAAGACCCCTATAGAAACCGCCATTTGCAATGTACTTTCATTTTCAAGTCTTAACATTTGGACAAAATAAACAGGGAAAACAACTTTCCAGAGACTATCTAAGTCCAACTTGCTCTTTATTGATAAACATATTTTGTTTCTGCAATAATGGTTTTCACTAAGAGCACGGAATTAATTAGGTGTATTTTTTTGAAAATATATGCATTTTTAAGAAGAATTTTTCTCAATTACTATATTTTCCAAGTATTTTTTTTATCAAGTGATACTTTCTATCTGTTAATCAATGAAAAATTGATACACTGTAAAAGGTTTAACTTTATACCTCATATAATTTTGGGGCTATTGTAAAAATAAATTTTTGAACATATTGACCTTTGACGAAACCTTAAACATTTGCATTTGTTAATTTGTTTTAATTTCACATTTCAATATCCAAAATGTAAAACACTTGCATTTAGCTTTTACACTTTCAACTTTTGTCATATAAAAGGATATGTAGAAAAAATGATCGTTTATACATTGTTCACAGTGTCTTATAGGTCTTACAGTCCAGGTGTTTGTACATGTACATGTATTTGATTTTTAAATGCATGTCACAATTTATTAGCCAGCAAAAGGCGAGTGCATGAGATTTAAATACATAAGAACACAACAATATTGATAATGATAATAAAAAAACAGGAAACAGGTTTTTTGTGATGATGATTTCCATTCTGAAAAGTATACGCATATTTTCGCCCAGGCTCTGGTTGGCAGTCATGATGCAATACGCATGCTCCCCTGACTTTTCCGCTAAGCAATTTTTATTCATGATAACTTTCTTTCTGCATACCATAACTTTTACGCTGATTTATTCTGATTGACTATTAGCAGTTTAGTTACACTTACAATATATATTATTCCATTCATTTGGTATAGTATTTAATTAGTCCTAAGACATTACATATAATCACACCAGAATTCAGACTCAAATTTAATGATACATATAAAACATGTAAGAGGTTTAAGTATAACAACATGTACTTTGTATATTAATCTACTTGATTCGTAAGACTTGAAGTCATTTGCAGAGAATTTAGCGGGAAACAACGTAACGTTGCCTTTGTGACGTCAGGGGCGTAGTATCCGGGGGGGGGGGGGGGGGGGGGGGGCCCCCCCCCCCCCCCCCCCCCCCCCCCCCCACTTTTTTTCCCAACCTTACTTACACTATAGGAAATGTTAATTGAAAGTCTGGTTGGCCCCCCCACTTTTAGAAATGTACCGAAAATGTAGTATAAGAATTGGTACTAAAAGTATTTGACAATGTGAAAAAAAGTTTATCTTACCCCCCTCCTCCCCCCCCCCCCCCTCCCACCCCCCCCCGAAATAGGATTTTCGACTTTGGGCAACTTTTACCTTTTTTTTTTTTTTTTTTTTTTTTTTTTTTTTTGCTTGTCAACTTTTTCAGGTAAGTAAAAAAAAAAATTTTCTCTGCCTGGCCCCCCCACTTTCAAAAACGATGCTACGCCACTGGACGTAACCGATGTCATAATCAAATGTTCACAAAACAACCGCTCGAATCGACAAATTTGTGTACCAAAACTGATGACAAAAGCAAACCCGCGAACTTCCTTAAATAACCAGAAATTGCTTTAAAAATTGGCTAAACCTTTTTACTTTATTACACAAATGCTCCTCTTCAAAAATAACCCTGTGGGGACCCGGGTTAGAATAGGTCCTCAGTACCCCCTTGCTTGTCGTAAAAGGCGACTAAATGGGGCGGTCCTTCGGATGAGACCGTATAAACCGAGGCCCCGTGTCACAGCAGGTGTGGCACGATAAAGATCCCTCCCTGCTCAAAGGCCGTAAGTGCCGAGCATAGGCCTAAATTTTGCAGCCCTTCACCGGCAATAATGACGTCTCCATATCAGTGAAATATTCTGGAGAGGGACGTTAAACATTATACAATCAATTAATTAATCAAAATTAACTAGTCTTAAAATAAACTATCTTACATTTTCATGTCCATTGTTGAAAGCGGGGCCCTTTGAGATGGCCACCATCTCAATGATATCTAGTTAGTATTTATCTATATTTAAAAATATATTATTCTACTACCTGGATCTGTGAGCACCGTCTGACACGTGGTTCCAGTAAACCCCACCGGACACGTGCACTTACACGTGACGTTCACGTAACCGCCATTGTCACAGACAGGAGGAGCAGTACAATGAGCTGTAAATATTAAGACGTCAAACTACATAAATGTTTTAGTGTCGCCTAGATTTATTCTGTCTTTAAATTGTGCATTTTTTCGAAAAAGACACAATTTGCCAAAACAAACAATATTAAATGAGTGATCCTTAGAATTAATTGAACATGTAGCTACACGACAAAAATGTTATTTTTTTATCAATATTATCACATCAATAAAAGCACCAGTTTTGACACATGTAATGATTTACAAGTTAGCGTATATGTCTATTTACTTTATTATCAATGTCTATTAGCAGTGTGATCATTATGATTTACAAGTTTGAGTGTATATTTCTAACCAGTGCATTCGAAATGATTTTTTCAACTTAAAGGTGCATTAATAATGATTAACAAATAAGTCTACTTATTACTCCTTTATTAATAATGGCTTAAATTTAGCGTGTATATTTATTACCGGTGCATTCGTACTGATCTATGACATCCTTTAAGTCGTAGTAGGTGAGGATCTGGCCGTTTGGGGCGTGAAGGAATTTCAGGTTTTTGTCTCTTAGTTCTACCGAACTGCCAAAATTCTGAAAATATATACACATAATATTGTATGTAAAAGACGCCTCTTAATTCTACTGCATCGCTATAAGTCTGGAAATATAAACACATAATATTGTATGTATAGGGTAAGTCTTTGTATAATGGAGAAGTCTACCAGTATAATTTATTATACCCCTCTAAAACAAAGGATGGGGGTAGATAGGAATCGGCTTGTCTGTCTGTCTGTCTGTCCGTCCGTCTGTGTGCAAACGTGTCCGATCCATATCTTTGTTACGGAGGTACATCAGAATCTACTACTCCACACAAAAATTGCTTATGACCTAAGGGTGTGTCATGACCTTGACCCAAGTTTGGTAAGGGAAGTTCAAGGTCACTGAAATAAAGGTTATTCGTGTCAGGTCGCTCGTAACTGCAAAATCTAACGACAACGCCTGGGCGAAGAGAAAATTCGAAGTACTGCACTTTCATTACATAGAAACTTTTTCTGCAGTAATTCTGATCCATAGTTATACACTGATTAAAATCAGCCCTGTTCAGGCTTCGTTTTAGTAAAGCAACATGCAAACGACGTCACTTGACATCAGAATCTAATATGCACTGAATGTCACGTGCGGTATGACGAGTCCGATCTAAATGAAAAATTGATAAGTATCTGCACTCGGCCAAATGATCGCACCGTCAACATATTAATAACATAATTTAACTAACCGTATGCATGATGCTTATTTTAACAAGAGGCCCACGGGCCTTATAGGTCACCTGAGTATCATGTAACAACTTTCCAGCGATGGTATTTGGTTCGTGTTTTAAGCCAAAAGCCATGAAATTCAAGAATTTTGAAAGAAGCACCATTGCTTATCAAAGAGCAGATTTCAAAGCATTAATTTATTTTTAGTCAAAGTACCCCCTTGGTACCCCTGACCCAGCAGCCCTGAAATTATCTATTTTGAAAGAGGACCCTTTCTTCATTATAAGGCCAGCATTTTTTTTTATGCTTAGGTTTAGTTATGAACATGAGAATAAAAAAGTCCCGAAGGAAAAGGAAATAAATTTTTTTTGATAAATCAATTATTAACATTTGTACATTCTTTTTTTATGCTATCCTAATAGGCTCCTTACCACTGGACACATAATGCTTACAAATAGGAAAGTAGAATATTGAATTGCTTATTTGAAGTTATTTCATCATCTGCCAGTTTGGGCCAGTTATATAAATTTTGTGATGTTGATCAAAATATATTTTAAAAAATCAATTCTTTAAAAGTCTTTCAATACATCTTTATTTTCTTAATATGTGTTAGGTGAATGTGTAGACATTGTTCTAAAATTTACTTGATGCCTAAAATTATAATTCCTATTATAAAACAGACAGGAAGTATTGGGGAGTAGGGTCAACATTTTTTCAATTAGTGTAAAATAATTTTTCTGGCTGATACAAATGATACTACATATATTTGTATATTCTTGCCTTTTAATAGGTGAATTTTTTTTTTATTTCTTCACTTCAGGTTATTGTTTATTTCTTCCTCAAATGGACTTCATTTCTCCCATAGTTTTATTCATTACATCTGATGCATAAGCAACCATTTTCTGAATAATGATGCTTAGACTGTAAGCTATAACAGAGATCTAAACAATATCCCTGGCAATATGCAATAGCTACCACGGGCAGTTTAAACCCTGGGGGAGGAAAATAATTTACAGTTACTTTTGAAACGAATACATAATTATCTCACCAGCATGTCATTGTGCAACAAAGTCGTCAGCATTTTATTTGTATTTGAACGGGTGAAACGTTTTGAATGGCACTCTTATCGATGAATTTTACACTAAACCATGTGAATTCTTGGATCTAGCTTTATTTACCCGCCGTTTCATCTAAAAACCGGAAGTGCGAGTTCGTAAATTTGAAATCTCGATCCCGACTCAAATTTGACATCGGAAAAAAAAATTGTTTTATTTTTTTCTCAAAGTTCAAAACCTTGAGCGGAGGGTTTGTAAAACTGAAAATAAAATAAATCCTGGCCTTATATATGTAATTAGATCATTAGCATATTAACCAAGAGCAAAGGATAAGATGTTCAAATGATTCATACATTTCACTATATAATCATTAGAGCCCCACCCTAAAACAAGAACCCCTGACCCTGGGGCCATAAAATTCACAATTTTGGTAGAGGCACTCTTGCTTATCATAACTATGTACTTAGTTAGTTTTTTTAATACCCAGGAGCAGAGAACAAGATTTTCAAAGAATTAATGTATTTTCACTATATAATCAATAGAGCCCCACCCTAACACCAGAACCCGTGACCCTGGGGCCATAAAATTCACAATTTTGGTAGAGGCACCCTTGCTCATCATAACTATGTACTTAGTTGGTTTATTTAATACCCAGGAGCAGAGAAGAAGATTTTCAAAGAAATAATGCATTTTCACTACCTACTTATTTAGCCCCGCCCTAGCACTAGAACCCCTGACCCCAGGGCCATGAATTTCACAATTTTGGTAGAGGACTCATTGCTGATTACAATCATGCAAACACTTTGACTGCTTGATGTCCAGGAGTAAAGAAGAAGATTTTTAAATATTGCACTAATTTTAGTGGTTTTGGCCCCACCCCTCAGGCCCCAGGGGGGCAGGGATCATGAAATTCACAATTTTTGTTCCCCTTCACCCATAGATGCTTTGTGCCAAATTTGGTTGAAATTGGTTCAGTGGTTGCAGAGAAGAAGCTGAAAATGTTCAAATGTTAACACACGACGAACGACGCACGACGACGGACGAAAACAGATAGCAATAGGTCACCTGAGTTTTACTCAGGTGACCTAAAAAATAACAGTATGCATTATGATAAACGTCATATTAAAACTAACCGTATGCATTATGATTAACGTCATAATAAAACTAATCGTATGCATTATGTTTGACGTCATAATAAAACTAACCGTATGCATTGTGTTTGATGTCATAATAAAACTATCCGTATGCATTATGCTCATTTCAAAACAAACAGTATGAATTATGATTAACGTCATAATAAAACTAACCGTATGCATTATGATTGATGTTGTTAATTCGTGCTATCTGGACGAATAATTAATAGCTGATCAACAACATGCGTTTATTCAATACACATACAACATAATACGACGTACACCCAACCCGACCCGAATTCCGAACCCGTTCCAAATATGGTCAATAGCATTTCATCAACATCCCCTTTTCTTTAGAAAATTTGTCAAAATTTCATCAAAACATCATATTTCATGAACAAAATAGATTTTCATCATTTTACACATATAAAATGAATAATGCACTTATCTAGCACAAACTGTCAGTCACTGAAATGGCAAGTATCTGAATTATAGACACAAAATGATCAATTGCAATTTACATGTACAAAATGACTAGAAAATCAAACGATTAAATGACCTTATATCATAATACAAAGTCCATTAACCAGTAATATAGTCTTTCAGATAGGTTGGTTTTCTCCTATCGCGAATAGGTCTTCCTGCACGGAGCGGTTCATTTTGCGTTGGTACGGTAAGTTCAGCGAACGGTGTTTCTGGTGCGCTTACACTAATGGTAGAGTTCGGATTGTTCACTGGCTTAGAGTCTGTTATAATGTTTCTCTGTATGCCGACTGAATTATCATCTGGGACTGAACGCATCAGTGAGCGGTCACGACTGTAGAAATTAACTGTGGTAGGTCGCAAATGACTTCTGTTTCTACGATAAGTGGTTCCGTTCTGGTCCTTGACGATGTATGTCCTTGGTCCAAGAATACCATTGATTTCTCCGAGTCTCCAGTTGCGTCCCTCTAGATGCTGGAAGAGTACTGCTTGACCAACGTCCAATTCACTCTGCTCGCGAGATTTCCTGTCTGTCTGCGTTGATTCCTCTTCTTGATGAATGCATCAGTTTCTGGTTTCTCGAGTTTCTGCGGAAAATAAGGAATCATGCCTCGCACTTTTCTGTTTAACATGATTTCTGCAGGACTAACACCAGTATCCTGTTTTGGTGTATTTCTTTGCTCCAGAATTGATTCATAAGGATCAGTCTTCTCAACTTCACATTTCCTTAACAACGTCTTCATGATTTTAACAGCTGACTCAGCCTTACCATTGGCTTGTTGATGCATAGGCGATGACGTCATGTGAGTGATACCCCACTTCTTTGCAAAATCTTGGAATTCTTGGCTTACAAACTGTGGTCCTCCATCAGACATGATTACATTTTGAATTCCAAATCGAGCAAATTGTTTCTTGAGTAAAGCTATTACTATGGAGCTTGTCAAAGATGTAAGCAGGTCGATTTCAATGAAACTTGAGAAATAGTCAACTGCAATCAAATAATGCTTTCCATTCAGTTCAAACAGGTCAAGTCCTATTTTCTGCCATGGAGTAGATCCTTCTGCATGCTGCATCAATGGAACATTTTGGTTCATTGTGTTCTCTCTTGACATATTGAACAACAATCAGCCAACTGCTTGATATCTGAATTCATTCCTGGCCAAAATATTGTTCCTCTTGCCCTCCTCAGCATGCTATCATATCCAAAGTGAGCCTTGTGAAGTCTGGCCTTCATTTCACTCCTCAAAGATTTAGGGATAATCACAGCTTCCCCTTTGAGCATGAGTCCATCGCTGTATGATATAGTGTCTCTAAAGTCAAAATAGTGGCGAATTCTCTATGGCGTTTCATGTTTCTGCTCTGGCCACCCGTTCATCACAGTTTTCTTGAGAATTTGCATCTCCTCGTCAATCTCTGAGGCTTCCATTATTTCACTTAGGCGAGCATCAGGAATATCACATGGTTTGTCACTTTTCAATGCCATGATTCTTAGTCTCTCACTAAAATTACCTTCCCCACTCTTCAGATATGCGCGACTCAACGTATCTGCAATTGTTAGGTTAGTTCCCTTGACATATACAAAGTCAAAATCGTACCGGTTCCATCTCATCATAATGTCCTGTAATCGCTTCGGTGCCATTGCAAGAGGTTTCTTCAGGATGGCCTCTAATGGTTTATGGTCATTCTGTATCGTCACATTACGGCCATATGTATATTGGTCAAAACGTTCCAGACCATATAACACAGATAACGCTTCCTTCTCGATCTGCGCCCAGTTTCACTCGGACACTGTCAGTGATCTAGATGCATACTCCACTGGTCTACCGTCCTGAAGGAGAACTGCACCAATGCCGTCTTTACTACTGTCCACTTGTATTACTACTTCCTTTCCAGAGTCAAAGTAAGCTAGGACAGGAGTTTCTGTCAGCATCTTCTTGATCCTCTGAAATGCTGCTACACAGTCTTTAGACCAATGCCATGCCTTATCTTTGCGAGTGAGTTCTCTGAGCGGCTCCATTATGGTAGAAAGGTCTGGAAGAAACTTCGCCATGTACTGAACCATGCCACACAGTCTCTTAATTCCTGAAACATCAGTAGGAGGTTGCATGTCATTAATGGCTTTCACTTTCTTGTCATCAATTTTCACTCCATCATTGGAAATAACATGTCCATGAAGTGAGATTTCTTTGAGTCCAATCTCTTGTTTTTCTTTATTCAAGATGATGTGTCTCTCCTCACATCTCTCCAACACTTTTCTCAATTTTAAAGCATGGTCTTGCTCAGCTTCTACATCGTTTTCTCCACAGCCCACTATGATGATATCGTCCACCACACTGAAAACACCTGTCATGTTTCCGAACACCTCATCCAGTTTCCTCTGTAATATTTCACTTGATACCTTTAGTCTGAAAGGTAGTCTTGCCCATCTGTACCTTCCAAAAGGAGTTATCTTGTCGTTAATCTGCTGGATTCCTCGTCCAACTTCACATGCCAAAAAGCCTCCTCGACATCAAGTTTGGTGAAGGTTCTAGCCTTGCTGAGCTGCGGTAGAATGTCATCAAGAACAGGTAGGCGATAATGTTCTCTCATCAATGCCGTGTTGAGTGCTTGGGGGTCAATAAACAACCTAAGATTGCCGTTGGCTTTACGAGCAATAGCCATCTGGCTGACCCATGGAGTAGGCTCTGTAATCGGAATAAGTACTCCTCTATCTTCAAGCTTCTGAAGTTCATCTTGTACCAAACTCTGGAGTGCAATAGGGATCTTTCTGCAGGGAAGAGCTTTGGGTTTCACGTTTGGGTCGACATGTAGATGTGCTGTTCCCAAATCACCTAAGTCACTGCTTGATACACTGGCTATGAATTTCTCGTTATTTATGGTAATCAACTTCAATTTCTGCAGTGCTTCAAGTCCAAGTAAACATGTGTAATGATTTGGAACAACAATGAATCTAAGTTGGTGCTTCTCATTTGTACGTGGATTGACGACTGTCAGATCTGCCTCACCAAGTGGTTTCATGTTTGTCTTATTCCACATGTTCAAGCGGATTTTGGTAGGCTTGCATTGCTCCTTGCGGACATAACGCTGAGAAATTGTATTCACATCTGCGGCACTATCAAGTTGAAATCTAATGGCACACTTATTGATACGCATTATTGCAGTCACTTCTTTGCCACCAGAACTAACAGCTTTCAACCACTGGTCCTCATTGAATTCTTCTTCCTGACTGACTTATGTATCTTCTTACACTTTGCTTTGAAGTGATTCCTTCCACCACACTGTTCACAATACTTTCCCCATGCTGGATACTTTAGCAGGGTTGTGGTTAACCACTCGCCGACTCGCCAATGCGATTAAAATTTCAAGTGGGCGATGAAGAAATCAAAATTTGATCGCCCACATGGCGAGCGTCTTGTTCCCGGAACATGACCATGCTTTGTTTGTATTTTTATAATCCACTTCCTTTTTTCATAACAAACACTACGCTAACCATGACTTTTGGTGTCGTGTGCAAACTATTACATTTGTATACGATACAAGCACTTGCGTGACCTAGACGTATGCCAAACAGCATTTTCAAATATTTTGTTGATGAGATATGTGGGCCCGTAAATCACATTGTGCGCCCCTAAACTTTGAAAAGTAAGGGGCCCACATGGCTCCTAGGATGTAAATGGTTGACCACAACCCTGTTTAGTTTCCCTGGTTCGTGTTTGTACCCACAGAATTCACAGTCTTTTTTCTTACACTGAGTTTGTCTAGTCTTCGGAATTTCCTTCTTTTTCTCTGTTTTCTGTGCGTGTACTTGTCGGATTTCTGTATCTTGTTCACTTTCAATAGCATTGCATCAACAGATGTCATAATAAAACTTATGCATTATGATTGATGTCATAATAAAACTAACCGTATGCATATGATTGATGTCATAATAAAACTAACCGTATGCATTATGATGTCATAATAAAACTAACCCGTATGCATTATGACGTCATAATCAAACTAACCGTATGCATAATGCTCCCTATATCGTATGGGTTCCTATTGTAGGTCAGGCGTTTGTAGTAGTGATACTTGGAATCGGGTTTCATATTTTTCCAGACAATTCTGACATACCGATCCCGATCACTTCGAACATGCTCATGCCTTTGTCCAAGTCTGTGTAGCATTTCATGAACCGCTATACCAACCTAAACAAGTATATTTTGTAGAATTGTTATACATAATTCATGGCAAAAATTTAAAAACAAGAAATCTAATAATACAGTCCTGTGTAAGTGCAGAAAGGTAAAGAAAAGTAACGGGGTAATGAGGGATTTAGGTGCAATTCCTGATAAGGCTGTGCCATATTTACTGTTTTTATCATTAATTTTTTTATTTTTTTTTATTCCGTGTGATAATTTGTTATAGATTTCGTTTTGTAAAATTTATAATTCAACACTTTTATATTCTACATTGAAAAGTACTTACTCCCCACTTAGTAGCCTAAAAAGATGACAAGGAATGTTTCTTCCAACAATTTCTGAAGTTCACTGTCAGAAACAGTTTTGAATCTTTTCTTTCTGCCAGTTGTGGAGCAGAAATTTTCTGACTTATCTTTTACAAATGCAGTTTGCACTGTTTTTCTTCATCCTGGATAGACACTGGTGCAAATGCATCTTACAAAATAACTCCGTTACCTCTCCAACTTGCTTTGATCAACAGGGATTCAGGAATATTTAAATTATTTTCTGGTAGAGGGCCATTTGGACTATACAGGTGTTAGTCAGAATTCTATACCACGTTAAAATCTGCATCCATTTTCTTTGTTTACATTAGCAGACGATAAGAATAATCATTTTCCAATATAATACAATCATGTTTATTATAAATATGCTCTAAATTTAATAAATAATATAAATAAATTAAAAGAAAAATATTTGATTTTTTGTTGGATTTTCAGTTTCTATTTGATTCTCTTTAAATAAACAGTTTCCAGTAGATATTAACAAGATAAGTATATCCGACAGCTGGTTGTTAGGGGGTTGTGTTCCCATACCAAACCAGGTTATCAAGTTTTATTCTGTGTCCCTTTTGGATATTAACCAATTTCAAGAATACAAACAAAAAATAAGTATTTGCCTATACTTGTTTTTAAAAATGGACTTTTCTTTTATGTCAATTGAATAAAAAAATATTCTTGAGAAATATTGCTTAATACTCTACAGCTAAAAAAGAAGTATGTTTGTACTCTTTTATATTCTTTTCATCACAAGTACGTCCTGAAAATGACTCACAATGTGAAGACGTAGTAATTACCATTCCTGGTCTATCGGGCTGCACTACATTTAATAAACAAGAAAACATGTCATGTACTTTTAACTGATTGTTAATTTATCATCTTGAAAAAATTAAAAATCTTGTGACAAAGATTTTTTTGACATAGGTTCAACATAAAATAGTAAACGACTATAATATTTTAGTGCATCAACTCAAGTTGGAAGACTTCTCAAAACAATATACCGTATAAGTAGAATTTTTAGCGAGGATTTAATTTTGGCATTATTAGCGAGGGTGCCGAAATCGCTAAAATTGAATATCGCTAAAAATTAATTGCATTTTATTTGTTATAATTTCTTTAACGTGCATTTTAAAATCGCTTAAATATTATATCGCTAAAAATAAATTACCAGTTTTTCAGGACAAATCGCTAAATTTGCGTCTCGCTAAAATTTCCACTTATACGGTACTTCATTCGTAAAAGAAACGCATTCACTTGTAGTAGAAAGAGTTAAGAAAACCCTTTGTCTCTAGCAGATAAAAATATAAAAGGGACACAAAATCAAATCAAATCTCCGCGATTTATTAATGTTGTTTTATATGAAGGTTAAAGATAACCCGACTTACCGATCCACATCCGGGTTCTGCTAAGCTTAGCACGTGTTCTCCATTTCCGCCGAAGCCCACACCAGAACCACAACTTGATCCGCTGTAACCATGGTAACGGTTTTTTTTAGTGCTTTATTCATTATCAGAAATAATCTCATCGATAGTACTTCTATAGACTAAAAACAAACTGCAAAAGAGTTGATCATAAAATACGAATTATAATTTTAAGAAAGATAACTACTAGTATGCTTAAAGCCCTTGTAAAGTTTTTCTTTACTTAAATATACCATGGAATTAGAATACAGGTTGAAAAAAACTAGCTCTAAAAAAAAGATCTTTAAGATTAGTTGTGATTTAAAAGATTCCTCAAAATCGTATGAAAACAAAGAAAACCGTTACTTCATGAATGTTCAATCATTTGCAAAATATTCAGTGTTTTTAAAGATCATTTTGATTGCCCAACTCTATTGTCAGACATAATAACTAACCAGGGGTCAAAGCAATAATTGCATACTGTCAAATCAAGAAAAAAAAAATGTTTGGTGAGTACTTTTTAACTCGAACATATCCGGTGTGCCCCACTTCCGTGGCTACTTCAGGTGAACTGGGCTTCCAGCGAATACACGTGAGTTTATTAAACAGCTCAACAGCTTCCAGAAAATACCCTCTGTTTGCAACTGCGTAAAAGAAAAAAAGAACGATTTACCATGAGGTCTTGAGTTCTGTTGCCCTCTATTTAGCAAATGTAAAGCAGAAACGGGGACATAAGGTTAAATACTTTATATACATGGATGCACAATCACCGCATAAGCAGTTTTAGCGAGAATTCGAATTTGGCATTATTAGCGAGCGTGTGGAGATCGCTAAAATTAAATATCGCAAAAAACTGTGTTTTATTTGTAATGGCTTTTCTAGGGAGCTTTTGAATATCGTAAAAAATATTTTTCTCTAAAAATGAAATAAATTTGCGTCCTCTTATAGGGTATATTGGTTTTGTATATAGCTTTAAAGCTGTATAACAGACGTATCAAAAGTAAACACACGTACTCAAATTGTTATCAATGATGTAGGGAACTATTGCCTTAGGCCAGTTTGGCCAACTCGGTCCAAAATTCCTCTTCCTGCGGCGTTTCTAAATTAAAAAAAAATACATCCCTTGAATGATACATTATGCAAATTTCAACTTACATATAGTTTTATTAACGTTATTATAGTACATCTTGTAAATATTTATGCATAGTGTTATAAAATAAAGGTTTGAATTTGCTTGAAATAATAGCTATATCATTTGTACTTGTAGCATTTAGAGAAACTAACCTCTTTTCCAGGCTCCCCTTCTTTGTCCGTTTCCTCTTTTCTCTCAATTGTTTTTTCCAATTTCTCTTCCTTAAACTTTTTGGAATCTTCTGGATGAAGCCCCTTTGACTGGAATTTAAGAACGGTTTTGTTACTTTTATACGAGACCGTTTTACAAACAACTGAAAAAATCGGGCCCTTTTACAGTGTGTCTGAGTTCCTGTTTTTCGATATCATGCAGAGTTCTATCTTTGTTGTATGTCATACTCTCAAACTTTTAAAACGTTTTAAGAGTTTTGGTATCAGTTCTTCTACAATCTACTAACGTGCAGAACTTGACCATTCCGTGCTACTAACGTACAGGACTTTACCATTCACAACTACTCACGTGAAGGGCTTCACCATTCACTGTTACTTATATGCAGTATTTCACCATTCACTTTTACTGGTACACAAGTGCATGACTTTACCATTCACTATTACTCACAAGCAGGACATTACCATTCACAACTCACGTGATGTAATTTAACATTCACAATTACTTAACTACAGGACTCTATCATTCATTACTACTCACATGCAGGACTTTACATTCACCGCTACTCACGTGCAGGACATTACCATTCACCACAACTCACGTGCAGGACTTTACCATTCACTACAACTCACGTGCAGGACTTTACCATTCACCACAACTCACGTGCAGGACTTTACCATTTACCACAACTTACGTGCAGGACTTTACGATTCACTGCTACTCACGTGCATGACTTTACCATTCACAACAACTCACGTGCAGGACTTTACCATTCACTACTACTTATGTGCAGAACTTTACCATTCACTGCTACTCACGTGCAGTACTTTACCATTCACTGCTATTCACGTGCAGGACTTTACCATTCACCATAACTCACGTGCAGGACTTTACCATTCACTACTACTCACGTGCATGACTTTACCATTCACTACTACTCACGTGCAGGACTTTACCACTCACTACTACTCACGTGCAGGACTTTACCATTCACCACAACTCACGTGCAGGACTTTACCATTCACTACTACTCACGTGCAGGACTTTACCATTCACTGCTACTCACGTGCAGGACTTTACCATTCACTGCTACTCACGTGCAGGACTTTACCATTCACTACTACTCACGTGCAGGACTTTACCATTCACCACTACTCCAAAACTGGACAACAGCTGTTCATTCGGGTCATCGGGATCGATGTTCTAAAAAAAAACACAGTTAATTTCGATCTTTCAACTCACGATGACTTTTCTTTTGTGACAGAGAAAGAGAAAAATTGTAAAATTCATCCTTTTACACAAAGGTCGTAATTCACAGAAAAGACATAATTCTCAGTTATTTCCATAATTTTTAAACATCCTTTTCTAGTTGGAGAAGTTTGATTAGAAATACAGTCCTTGTGCAAGAATATTAAGAGCAAAACAAAACAATTCAGGATTGAAAAAAAAAAACAGAATTATGGCAAGCTGTCGTTAATGTAACAAGTCGATTATAATAATTAATTTTTTTTAATATGCCTTGGTAATGGAAATTATATCCTCTTTTCTTCTTATTTCCTGTCATATACCTAAATCTGTTGAATTATTCTTTGTTTATGTTTACATACCATACTATCTATTTCGTTTTCGTTACGTATCTGGTTTTCGTTATATGTCTGGTTGTCACTCTCATTTTCCCGCTGATCTTCAACCTTATAGTAACAATAAATAAATCTGTTCAAATGTAAGATAATGTTTTAATTTTCAAAAATAATAATGTAGGATTAATTATTAAATATAAAAATGTAAGATAATATATTAAATATTAAGCATAATAAAGTAAATGTTATCAATAAAAAGTGTTGCCCCTGCTGGTGTTTGATCCGGGGACCTTTGGATTGTGGGGCGATTGCTGACCCACTTGACCAGTCACACCTTGCATTTAATGTCCATTTAATAAATACAAATATACATACATGTTTGATTTAAAATACTCAATAATTGTGAATGATAGAACCTGGTTTATTAGGAATAATAATATAGTGTAAACTTAATGAAAAGTAATTTAGAAAAATTATTTTTTTTAAATATAATTTTCTTTGTGTAACAAACTTCCTGTAATTGGCAGCAGAGGCCATATTTGCTTTGTTCGATCGTAAGAAAGTACATAGAAGATCTTTTGGACCTATTCAGTAATGTAAGTAAAATCGTGGTATTAAATCTTTTTATTTTTATATGTATAATAATGCAGTGTATGTGATAATGTGAAATATTTTAATTGTTGCGGTATTTTTATTGAAAACATTACACATGATGAAAACCTAATATGATGTTACTTCTGATCACAGGTTGATGTATATATAAGTGTGTTGAATATTGGCTCAACCTACACCTCCTGTTAAATCCTTACTTAGGGTATATGTGACAATCATAATATTTTATTTTTATGTCCATATTACAGTGAATGATATTTATCATTATTATTGTACATAATGAAAAGTAATATGTATAAGTATCTATATAATATGTTGATGTCATGAAATCATTTATTTGTTTCATTTACTATATTCAACAGATACAAATGTTTAATTAGGAAATATTTTTTAGAAATAAGACAGACAAAGTATTAGTATAATTTTTATTATGAATTGTCTTATACTGTATTAACTGTCATTGTATTTATATATTATTGTAGTACGATACCTTTAAAGAGAAATTTCTAATAAATGATTGGAGAACCTAAAGTCTGGTTACACAAACATGTGCAGAAATTATTGATAACCTTAATAGTTATACGAGGTTGATTAAGAATTAATTCCTCCTTCATGCAGCGGCGTTCAAAAAGAAATCATTTGAATAAATGTTTCTTGTAAGTTTCCCGGCAATTAAAGTAGGACTACTCTCGCACTACGTCCTTTACGAATAGAAAAACCGGAACCACGCTTCCTTTTTCCGAAATGTGATTTTTGAACTATATAGGTTTGACTTTTACTTAGCGATTGAAATATCCGGTAACGATTTTGCTCTAGTGTCAACACACGTACAAACACTGATTACTACAATTTAAGGATAAAATAATTAAAAAGGGAAGGCTGGGAACAACTTTTGGTTGACAGAGAAATAATTAGATAACAAAACGACATTTCTGTGAATGATACATGTGTAATATGCCGCGCCGATAACACGGACCACGAACATGCTACATCAGTACAATGTGAAAACTGTCATTGTCGGGGCGACTATTGTCGGCGGCCAAGTTGAAGCTAATAGTGATAATTCGCAAAAAAAGTAATAACTACGATTTGACTTAGACAAATTCAATGAATTTTATCAATTAAACATTACAAAATTTACTTTGAATATTAATTATTTCATAAGACCCAACCTGTTTACCCATCAATCACAATGCAAAATTATCTTTAGAATATTATTATTATATGAAAAAAGTTGATTCACTTGCAGCATACTTATTTTCTATAACAAAATCATCCAGTTTCTGAGAATCAGTCAAGCACGTTCATTTTCATTGTCTCCAATTTACAGATAAGCGTGTTTTAATTTTTTTCAGAGTAAAATACGATACATTTTAGGGACAATAGGTATTGGGTGTGTATTATTATTGTTTTAAATATGTACAATTTTGTTAATACAAGTATACACTCAAACTTTAACAGTATTACAGGAAAATGTGGCAATATATTATTTCTGGAAGAAAAAAATTATGAGGGTCCCTCTAGTCGACATATAATTTATTATGCGTCCACATTTAATTTTTTTTAACTTATTCTTTTTCTTAAATGTTATTTAGTAAAAAGAATGCAAATTTTTTAAGTTTGAGTCCAAATATTTTTTTAATGACCGAGATTGACCTATGAAGCATATTTTCTCATATTAAATTTTGATACCTTAGCCTAACAAAGTTTAAATATTTATAATAATTCATGCAAAACAGTGATTATATATGATTTACTAACAGGTTTCTACTTTATTTTGTGTATTAAAGTTGAATATTTAGACTTGAATCATTTATAAACAACAAAATCTAGGATATGTCAATTTCAGCATTTTACATTTCAGGGTATATACTCCGATAGGCCACAGCAGAAAACTAAACATGTTGACATATACTAGTAATTTTTCTTGTGTCTATCCATTGATAGGATGTATGTCTATCTTATAAAAGCAGATTTTTTTTAAGATTGAGCCCATTAAGTGCCGAGTGTAGAACTACCTTAACGGAGCGAAATTGAACATTGCTCCATTGATAAATATAGCTTACAGGGTTTATACAAGGTATCCCTTCTGTCTCTTTTTCAACCATGATTAGCACTTACCCGGTTTGCCTCGTTTTCGACAAGTTCCAAAAATCTCCTTATATCTTCTATAAGACGAGCCCTCGAAGCTGTGAAGGAAAAGTGCAAAATAAATAAATAAATAACAAAGAAACAAAAAAAACCCAAAAAAACAAAAAAAAAAAAAAAAAAAAAAAAAAAAAAAAAAAAAAAAACAGCAAACAAACAAAACAAAAATATATTTTGAAAATTTGATTTTAAGGTTTCAAAAGATAAAATGCAAGATTAAGATAAGATATTGTAGGTATTAAAGGAAATAGAATAATTCTGCTTTTAATAAAGATGATCTCGGATTGTATTGTTAAATTAAAACATAAACGGAAAATCGCCGAACTAAAGGAGAATATATAATTATTAATTTACAAATTTAGTTGTAATTGCAATGCAGATTAAATATATGTTATTCAATACCAAATAAAAAATAGACATTTTTCAGGGATAACTTATAGTATTTATTATATTATGAAAAAAACCCGTTAATTCCGACAATTAGAATTTACTTTACCTTTGTGTTGGGATCTTCCCCATGTGTGACCAAAATAAGTAACGGCCATCAACACAAAGAAAATTCCCCGAATTCTCCACATTCTGGATATATACGGTTTACTATGTCACTTGTACAAGGCAGACCCTTTTATAGTCTACATAATTACTAGTCAGGTGGACCGTATCAATTAAATGTCTGGTGTTACTAATATTAAGTTATGTTTTTACTCTCTATCTGTATATTTCAAGTGCAATAAATGCATCACCTGTAAAAAAAAAAGGGGGGAGGGATAACTTGATCAGAGTGTGAAATGCGACTCGTTTATTTATCAGGCCATCACGCAAGGCATACACGTAGGTATGATTTAAGTCGACATTATTTTTCACTCCTATTCAACATAATCGCGAACTATTACATTTAAAATTGTATTAAGTTGTAGATAAATGACAATTAAAGTCAAAAGACAATACTTTATACAAGGATATTTTCGCCCTTTTCTCCCAACATTCAATTGGGCGAATTAAACGAACATAGAATAATTTCTTAAACAAAATTCTGATTAGGCGAATTTAAAAGGGGCAAAATTGTTTGCAACAGTCGTGGATTAAGGAGTGTAAACTTACGTCGAGGGTTCGAATTTCATTGCTGGACATGGAGACTGGTCCTCCGGATGAAACCGGATAAAACGATGTCCCGTGTGGCATTAGGTGCAGACAAGAAAAAGAAGTGTCGTGTATAGCAGACCTGTAGCAGCAAATTTAGGAGGGGGACAATCAAAGAAATCTGACAAGCAAAATAAAAAAAGGGAAAAAAGCTCATTTAATGTTCAAATCCTGGAAATTGCCAGTGTTCAACCTTAAAGCTCAAGAGGGGGGGGGGGAGGGGGGGCAGCATCTTAAGGAAGATTTATTATAGTAAAATATTATATGATGCTTTGCCAACCAAAATTTCAAAATCAATTCTACCCTTGGTTATATTTAATATTTCCAAGAGACCCAAAATTGAAGATTTTAAGAAGGAAGTCTAACGCCTACCAGATTTATATTCACACTTGAACATCCCAGTTCGTTACAATATGATGGTCTTAGAATGAATGCTGACGGAATCGATGTGTCTTAAAAGTAATTAAGTATCAAAACTCTTAAAGGAAATATAAAGTATTCTAAAGTAAATATGCTCATTAACTTACTAGCATTTTTGTTTTGAGTGATACGCAGCAGAGAAATCGCGCACCTACTTTAGAAATGGCAAGGTAATTAAAGCATGTTTACGCGTTTTCTTTCTAGTTCCCACGGAAGTTTTGTTTGAAATAAAGATCATCTTTGGAAAAAAACATGTTTATATGAATTTTTCATCAAAGAAAATTTATTTACAAGTATGCTTTTCAGATGCATTAAATGCGCCACTTAATTTGCTTGTTTTGACCCCGTTTTGCATGTCATGAAAGAAGTGTTTAAATCAAATACGAGGTATATTATGCGAGAGTTCATCAAAAGTAATGTCATACCTGCTGTAAATTCTTTAACATTCGAAAGTTTCCATTAAAACTTTACATACCTATACCTCTGTATCAAGATAAACATAACATTTGGTCTCCTCAATCTCCGCACTGCAAAAATTCATGTACCGACGTCGGTAACACTCTTTTTGTGTGAAGATAGATAAAACGTTGTGTTTATCCCAATAATTTAAAAAGGATTTTAAAATTATCATCGAATGAAATTTACAGACAGAAAAGCGAAAAAATAAGGGTTTTTTTAATAATTTTGTTTACAACATTTGGTTGTTAAAGATTTTATAGCAGAGAGTAGTGACTTGATTTTTGGATTAACCCTCGTATATATTCATTATTTTAAAAAGGATAGTTTAGTTATGAATCACTGTACATCCGAGTTCACCTAAAGTGTGGCACACCTTGGTTGAGGCTAATATGTGTCAAATGCGGTAATTCCCAAACAACAAAAAAATCAGATCAAAAGAAGTAAAAATCATTCATGCAATATTTATTATTTTCTTGGGGGTGGGGGGGGGGGGGGGGGGGGGGGGGGGAAAAAAAAATATATGTCTATCGAGAAAGATTTAGGTATTTTCTAATAAGGGAAATATCCTTTACTTTTAAAATGGTTGAAAATATATCATTGAGAAGGATTTTTGTTAATCGAGAAAGATTTAAGTATTTTCGAATAAGGGAAATATCCTTTACTTTTAAAATGGTTAAAAATATGTATAATTGAGAAGGATGTTTGTTTGAATTTAACGGGTAAATCAAAAATGGGAATAAGAGACATAAATAAGAAAAGGCCTTGATTAATTGCCACCACCCGTTATACACTAAAATATTATTTTGTTTATTTAATCATTTGTAAAAGTCTGTTGACGATGCAAATCAAAGTACTCTGAAGTACAGAGAGCCGGGCTCATTTACAGAGTAGAATGGATTTCTTACATGAATCACGTTTATATTCGTTGAAAAAATTATTTTAAAACTATCAATATAAATGATAAGACACTGACAGTGAGTTTTTTAATTCTAATACCACGGTCCGATTTTGTCAAAATCAGAATTAATCTGGTACCGCAGCTAAATGTAAACAAACAGGCCAGTCTGGTTCCCTCTTCTGCTTTACCTCGTATGTGTAGAAAACTACGGTGACACTGATCATCAAAAATCCTTACGCTAATGAACTATGTTCTTTGACTTATGAAGTTTTCAAAGTCATTCCTACCAATATTTATTTTATATAGATAAAACCTCGTTTTATTTTTGTTGCTTTATTTAGCGTTCGTTTCATCTCAAAAGCGGTTGAGAGTAAGAACTATATTTTTGCACGTAATTTTAAAATGATGACTATGGGGTCAACATCCTTCCTTGATGGATCATAGGAGCCGGCAATTGCTCTTTGAGCAATAAGCCCGGCTAAAAATTGTTTGAAAACAATTTTGTGATCTACATGTTCCATTTCATCAATCTTAGTGTCTTGAGAATAGTGAAGTATGTGCTGTGAATGATAGGAGTTCCCCTCCTCTACAGTTTATAAAATTAACCTGAATGGAAGAAGATGAATTCGAAGAATATTTAATTTTTCAAACGTATTAAAAAGTGAAGATGTGGTTATTGACAAACGAGCTGTTTGATCTGAATTCAAGACATAATGGCTGATTCATACAGAATTACAGATTTGTGGACCATCTTTTAGCACTCACGGAGGGAGATCTTCGGATCTATCTCCTTGTTGAAAGTATGCAGCTAACTTTGCAATAAAGTGAAATATACTGTGAAATCACTAATTTTGGTGGGGGGGGGGGGGTGTAATTCTCCTGGTATGAACAGACCAGCGAATTTATGTCCATCACGAAATGCATTTTTTCAAATACATGTCTACTGAAGAATTCTTCAACCACGAAATCAAATTCCCAATATATTTTCCTTAAACCACGAAAAATTGACCCCTCGAAAATATGTGATTTCACAGTAAGCACCCTTTTGTATTTAAGCAGGTCTTTGAATTGATTGAAGGGGAGGGAAAAAATACTGAAGATATTAGTCAAGGGATTCAAAGGTTTAGAGATAACTTACTTTCCTGATCTATAATTTTACAAAGGAAATTAAAGAGAAACAATAAAAGAGCTTGGAAAGGTAGTAGCTATTTGAAAATTTCACACGAACAATCTCGTCAAGGTTCTACTGAAAAATGCATAGAAGTCCTGTGATCTATTCTTTAAAATCGGAAGTATTTGTTCATAGTGTGAAAGTCCGAAAAATTGCAAACAATAAATATTTTCATGCGTTCCACAGGTTCTCTGCAATTAAATGGAACAACGTCGTCACAATAAATTGTTGACAGAATTCTGTATATATGATTCATGTGTATGTTTAATGCATATTAACTGGTAAGTTTCATTCGAAAAATTCCAAAAGCATTATTTGATGATTCACAAGAAACACCAAATACTCAACAGGTTCTGGGCTACCGTAGCGTTCATGTAAGCGCTGCCACATCAGTCGCACAGCCTTCTGTGGATCTTTGAGATTTGCTGTTCCCATGCTCATGGCAAATTTCTTTGACTCTGCTCCTTTCAAGCTGTGTATGTTTCTGGTTGATCAGTGAAAGCCATAAATCGTGAAGTTAACAAGTCTCTTTTAAGTAAAAGGAAGTGAAGTCACCAATGCCTGGATTCGGGTCAGGCATAGCTGATGGCATTGGAGGGTCAGTATCTTTGCCCTCAAGCACAGGCTCATGTGGAGTTGAAATAAAATTGGGCGGAGGCAGTTCAATAACTCCTTCTGAGGACTGGCTGTGAAGTGATGATAGGAAACGAGACAAAATTTCATCTTTCAGAATTGTGAATGACGCTCGTCTTTGACACTCTTATGGAAATCTTGTGGTGTGATATGGTCTCTGGCCACTTTCGCTTCTGCGACAGCAGTTTCATGCTCCTGTTTTAGTAAACGGAGATCCAACTCGAGTTGTGACTTTCTCTTTTCTTGTGTCATCCTTATAAGATATTCGACTAATGTATCAGATGATGCAATAAGTTCTTGACGCAGACAGCCGACCTCATCATCATATTGCTGTATCACACGGGGTTCGAGTTCTGACTACTAAATATTAAGGTTCGGGTTAGGTAAAAAATGAAGGTTAAGATTAGGGGAAAGATTAAGATGAAGTTTGGGTTAAAGATCAAGGCTAAATTTAAGATTATGGTTAAGTTTTAGTTGAAAGTTAAAGTGAGGGTTAAGTTTACATTTAATTTTATATTGCACCACTGTACATGTACTATTGTTATTAAGTTAATGCCGGAGACCTACAATCACACAACTGTATATGCCGTGATGATTACCATTTATTATGTTAATCGTGGACCTACAATCGCACCACTGTACTTGTGATGATTACATGTTATTGTGTTAATGCAGGAGACCTACAATCGCACCACTGTACTTGCCGTGACGATTACCTGTTATTGTGTAAATGCCGGGAACCTAAAACCACACCACTGTACTTGCCGTGACGATTACCTATTATTGTGTTAAGGCCGGGGACCTAAAACCACACCACTGTACTTGCCGTGACGATTACCTATTATTGTGTTAAGGCCGGG